CCCACACACCGCAGGGCCCCTGGCAGGGGGTGGCTCTGGACACGGCCCTTACCAGCCCGGGTGGCAGATGCACTGTCCGCACACGAAGTTCCCGTGGAAGCTGCACTTGGGCGAGTCCAACTCTTGTTGCTGGAAGTGAAGAGAGAAGAGGCGTTGCTGAATGGGCCCAGCTGTCCTCAAGACCATTTCAGGAATCAGAAGGGCAGATGCAAAGGCAAAGTTTTGCCCTGAAGACTAAGCAGTACCATAGGACATCACACCGAGGTGGGAACAGGCAGTGATGGAGATCTTGGCCAGGCTGAGCATTACTGAGGGGTTGAGCAGGACCCGCATGCATCAGCCAGCACATTCCCACCCCGGGCTGGCAGGAGGAGCCCCCCTCAGCGCGTGACCCCACCTGTTCACAGGGACACACGTCGCAGACCACGGCAGTGGACACGGTCAGGCTGTCGCTCAGGGACGTGGGCTTCACGTGGATGACTCCGTGCCGGTCCCTCTCGGGGAGGCTGCACACGTGCTGCCCGCCAACGTACTCCAGAGCCTTCACGTGCATCTGGAACTTGCTCTGAAGGAAGGGACACACTGCAGGGATGAGCCAGCTCTGCTGGACATGGAGAGCTCACCCTCTCACAGGTGCCTTCCCTCCGCTGCCCTCCGAGGGCTTACCACTTTTCCACGGGTGATGTGGAAGGAGCCAGATTCTGTCTTTTCAAATTCTGGGGAGGTGAACTCTGTCTTCAGGGCTCTGGGAGTGAAGTCAGCCCGGATGTCCATCTTGGAGCGGATGCGCTGGGTGTCAGAGCAAAAACACAACGTGGATTTTCAGCAGTACCTGTGACCATCCCGTGCCCTGCTCCAGAGGGGCCACATCTGCCCTCTGCCTGCTCCCCTGCCCTCCCTGTGAGCCAGGGGGAAGCTCCAGAGAGCAGTGGTACCTCAAAGGCTGTGCGGAGCAACTCCACGATGTTGGAAGAGTCTTCCTGGAGCACCCCGATCTCAGAGATGGGGAAATACTTGTGCAGCTTCTGCAGAGAGACAGGAGCTCCCTGAGCCAAGGCCTTGAGAACCCTCCACTATCACGGGAGAAGGCTTTACTTTGAGACCTCCAAATGTCCCCTCCAACCTAAATTACTCTCCAGCTCTGTGCCTCCACTGCTTTACAAGAAACAGAAACCAACACAGGGAGACGTCTAGGAGCCTGGATTACTGCACCCAGTAATGCACCCTGAGACCTCCCACAACCTAGAGCAGCCCCCCAACACAGTGTGCCACCCTCCCAAACACCGAGGGGTTGGTTTGGCACTTGGGGACAAGCGATGGGAGAACACTTTCTCCTCAGAGCTGAGCTGAGGCAGAGGTCCTGGAGGAAAGGCAATCCCTTGTGCCCAGAGGTCCTGGAGGAAAGGCAATCCCTTGTGTCCAGAGGTCCTGAAGGAAAGGCAGTCCCTCGTGCCATCGCTGCCGTGCCCCCCTCACCTCGTAGTAGCTGTAGGAGTGGTTGGTGACGGCGAAGATGGGGATGATGTTGTGCTGGCCCAGGAGGCGCACAAGGGTGGGCACTGAGGGGTAGTCCTGCTTGGTGTCGTACACGTAGGTGCCATGGCTGTCCAGGTGGCACTGCTCGTCGTTCCTCGCCAGGATCCCTGCCAGGACGTTGGTACCATCAGCTTCATAGTGAAAGGCAGACTCGGTGGAGAACACGAGCAGGTGAGTGCTGTCCTTTCTCCAGCCAATCTTATCCTGCAGCCAGGGAGGGGGAGAAGGAACCTTTACCTCTGTGCTTCCCAAACCCCTGCATGGCACTTGCAGCCCTGGGCAAGCCAGCACTGACAGGAGCTGGAATACCCAAGGGACAAAGCACTGCCTGCACCTGGTAGCAAACACAACAAGCCCCATGTCCCCAGGAATCCCAGCAGCCACCCACACCCCAAAGCACGGGGTGTCTCCCGCCCAGCAGCTCGGTGCCAGGCACATCTGTGTACAGGGGGCAAGCCCACGCCTCCCTGGACGTGTCTGGAGCTGTGCTCATCCCTCAGCCAAGCAGCCAAGCCCAAGTGGGCTCTCCTCCAGGGAGCAGAGTTTCATCACCGCAGGCGTGGAGGGGACAGAGCAAAGAGCACACACAGGGCTCCCAGCAAGCAGCCCCTTGCTGGGCATCAAACACCAGGACACATATTCTAAGGCTTAGGGAAAATTGGGGATGCAAAAGAGCTTGGCACTGGGAGCATGTGGCTGGGAGGGCAAGAACCAGCTGCAGCTGAGCCAGGGTTCCCTGGCTGCCCTGTCAGGGGCCTGGTGCATGGATCTTCTGCTCATCAGTGGGCATCAGGAAGAGCCACTCTGTTGTAGTGTGTTTTTATACTTTGTAATATTTTGAAGTACTTTTGTTTTGTATCCCTGTATTTTTCCCAAATGGTTTATCCCAGATCACACCCCCCTTCCTTTACCTGTGTAATCCCTCTCTCTGGCTGAGATCATCCCCAAACCCCCACCCTGGCTCTCTGTCAATCACTCAGCATCCCATCCCTCCATCTAGAAGCTTCGGTCCAGATTGCCAGTGATCAGCCAGAGGCCAGGGGTCAGCCCCCAAGCCTTGCCCCATACACTGTCCGAAATGTCCACCCCCCAGTACCCATCCCTTAGGATCACTTATTAGTCAGTAAAATGTTCTCTACTTTGGGTTTCCACCTCCCTTTAAATGTAAACTTGGCACATCTCCCGGGGCTCTCAGTGGGAGGCCCCCTGTTGCAGACATCTTTTAATGAAAAATCCTTTCCTTAGGATTTTTCCTCCTGAGAAGCTGGGAGGCCTCAGGAACAAAATGTAAACAATGGTTATCTGCTGCTGTGGAATGCAACAGGTGCATCTGTGATTGGTCTCATGTGGATGTTTGTAATTAATGGCCAATCACAGCCCAGCTGCCTCGGGCTCTCTGTCCAAGTCACAGACCTTTGTTATCATTCCTTTCTATTCTTAGCTTAGCTAGCCTTCTGATGAAACCTTTTCTCCTATTCTTTTAGCATAGTTTTAATGTAATATATATCATAAAATAATAAATCAAACCTTCTGAAACATGGAGTCAACATTTTAATCTCTTCCCTCATCCAAGAACCCCTGTGAACACTGTCACAGCCCCCCAAGGTGCAGGAGCTCCCAAGAGCCCCTGAATAAAACCTTGGATTAACCCCTGCTAAGAGCTGGCCCTTTATCTTCTACCAATGTCTCTGGTGTCTCTTGTGGTGCAAAGGTGACCAGCCCAGGAGCCCTCAGCATCCTCAGGGCATGGGGCACAGAACCCTCGGGGCACAGAGAGTGTCTCCCTGCTATTGGCCATGTCGGGGCTGCACCCCCGGTGTCTGCCGACTCGGGACTGGCTGAGTGTCGCAGACATCTTTTCATTAAAATCCTTCTTTAGGATTTTTCCTGCTGAAGCTGAGAAGTTTCAGCAACAAAATGTAAACAATTTGTTTACACCTGCTGCTGTGGAATGCAACAGGTGGACCCGTGATTGGTCTCCTGTGGATGTTTGGATTTACTGACCACTCACTGCAAAGCTGGCTCTTGCTCTCTGCCGGGACACAGATCTTTGTTATTCATTCTTTTCTATTCTTAGCATAGCTAGCCTTCTGAGAACTTTTCCTTCTATTCCGTTTAGTATAGTCATAACATCATATCATAAAATAATAAATCAAGCCTTCTGATCATGGAATCAACATTCTCGCCTCTCTCTCATCCTGCAGACCCTTGTGACGGCGGTCACAGCCGAGGGCTCCTGAGAGGCTCCCAGAGGGACAGAGACAGCACTGGTTAAAAGCCCAGCCCTGGCCACGCTCACCTTGCACACAGCTGTCTGCAGGATGGCGTCGAAGCCGCCCTCAGGGGCGTCCAGGTTGCCCGAGATGCGCTCCTTGCTCAGCTCCTGGCTGAAGTGGTTGATGTTGCTGGTCAGGCGGATGACGTTCTTGAAGGAGAACGGCGAGTCGGCGTTGTGCCAGGGCTCACGCAGCCTAGGACAGACGGAACCAGGGCTCCCGTGTGGGCCAGGAGCCAAGGGATGCCAGGGTGCAAGGAGAGGAAAGGTGGGGAGAGTCCCTCAAGGGAAGCCATGGAGCTGAGCAGCTCAGCCACCAGCACTGAGAGGGAGAAGGGAGGAGGGCAGAGACAGAGGAGACAAGATGAGTTGGTTGGGGCAGAACAGGGAAGGATGAAGGCAGAGATAGAGGACATAAGAAGAGCAGTCTGTTGTGGCAGAGCAGGGAAGGTGTGAAAGCAGAAGATGACACTGCTGTCGTTGTCACAGTGCTACAGCAAGCCCTGAGGCATGGGGAGACCAGGGAGGACACCAGCAGTGAAGGTTGAGAGATGGATGGAGGCTCTTCACTGCTCAGTGAAATCCACAGAGAAGCAGAAGGCACTTCCCACTCCCTCTACTCCCACCTCAGGGACCCACGGGCCTCACTCACTTTTCAGGTCTCATGTCTGTCTGAGGGGATGAGACTTTGTCCACAAACTTGCCAAATCCAATGGTGTAATTGGAAGTCAGGGCTTGCAGGAAGTCCGCTGGGAGGAGAGGAAAGGAAAGGGGACACACATAAATAAAGAGATGCCTGAGGGCTCCCTTCTCCAGGGAAAGAAGTCCTTTTGTGGGCATCTTCTCTGCTGATGGGTTCTTAGGTAAGATTCCCAAACTGTTATCTTTTAGGATCTTTGGTCTTTTATAGGGCAGAAACCTAGACCCCCTTTGGAGCCCCAAAACTGGAGCTCCTGCAGTAGCACCCAGCAGGTTCAGGATGCCAGAGGCCCTGCACAGAGCAGCTCTGAGGGGCACCAGCTGGGCTGGAAGGGCAGAGCATGTGAGGATCCCTGCAGGACCAGAGGGACATCCCCACACAGGGCTGTAGAGAGATAATGAGAAGCTCTAATTAAAACAGACCCCTCTCAGGCCATTGCCAGCTGCATCCCCCTCTCTGGTGCTGGCAGAGCACTCGCAGCCACAGGCAGGAACAAACTGCACAGAGCAGGCTCCCCTCTCCTCCCAGCTCTGCCCTCACCTAGGTTATGCCCCATGCTTTTGAGGTTGTCCAGATCATCAGACATGGAGTAGGAGAAGTCCATGAGGATGTAGAGATCCACAGGGCTCTCCTTGGGCTGGAAGACGTCCATGTAGAAGCTCATCTCCTCGCCAGCGCGCAGCCGCATGTACATGGCCTGGGGGGACACCTGGGTCCTCTGCAGGGACATGTTGATGCTGGAATTCTGTGAAGGACAGTGACATGGAGGGGATGGACTCCATTGTTGGAACTCAGCACATCCCTCCGGGTGTCCAGAGATGCCGAGGACCCCACTGGGGGGCTCGGAGACCCTGGCACGCAGCCCAGAACACCTGGGGATTTGATTATGACCTGTGAAGCAAATTACCAGCTTTGTATGAGGACCTGAAAGTCACAGAAGTTTAAATAGTATAATAATAAAATTATCACTGGGTGAAAATGTAGATTTTAGGATTTTTCGTATGGGGGTTTTGGGGACAAGATGGAGGAACTTGGGCGTGTCCAGCCTTTCTTCTTCTTCTTCTTGGTCTCCATCTTCTGTTGTGATGTTTAAATAGTATAATAATAAAATTATCGCTGGGTGAAAATGTAGATTTTAGGATTTTTGGTATGGGGGTTTTGGGGACAAGATGGAGGAACTTGGGCGTGTCCAGCCTTTCTTCTTCTTCTTCTTGGTCTCCATCTTCTGTTGTGATGTTTAAATAGTATAATAATAAAATTATCGCTGGGTGAAAATGTAGATTTTAGGATTTTCGTATGGGGGTTTTGGGGACAAGATGGAGGAACTTGGGCGTGTCCAGCCTTTCTTCTTCTTCTTCTTGTTCATCTTATGTTGTGATGTTGGCACATTGGGATTGGTTTAGAGTGGAAGCTCATTGTCTAACATAGGTGATAGGTATTGGAAAGTAATTGTAAATACGTTATACATAGTTTGTAGTATAAAAAGACAACACCACCCTGGGGCGGTCAGAGTGCCTGTGGCTGATCTCAGCTGGGCAGAAAGAAAATTTTATAGATAAGAATTAATAAACAATTTCAAGACCGAAAACTGAAGAGCTCTGACTCGTTCTTTGGATGCACGGGCCAAAACAGAGACCTTTCTCACAGCTTGGGGCAGCAATTAACAACCACAACCTGAGACTCCATCTCCAGCATGGTGCAACAAGGAGGAGACAAGGAGCAGGGAGATGTGTGAAGTACAAAAGCAGGGATGAGCGCATCCCCCTCCCCCCTCAGCCACTCGTGTCCAGCCAGGCACCTCCTCCACAGGGATGTGAGCATTTTGCTTACATCTGCTTTGTCTGCCAGGGCACCCCAGCCTGGATCAGGGCCAGCAGCCCTCAGGTCCCCCAGCTGGCCAAGGCATTGCTTTTGAGTAGACCCTCCATAGATAGCGATCTGGGCTTTGTATTCTGCCTGCTGAGGAGCCTAGGGAAGGCTGAAGGAGCCCTGAGGAGAGGCTGAGCACGGGCTGTGTCCCCAGCACGCACCTTCAGTGTCCTCATCTCCCCCTGGGTGTACACGATGCTGGCCTCGCCGCAGCCCGAGCGCAGCAGGTTCTCCCGCAGGTCACAGCGCGGCTCCTCGAAGCTCTGCCAGGGAGCAAGAGCAGCATCAGAGCCACAGAAACCACCAGACCCACTGGGAAAGGGGGGAATACACAGGGCAGGGGGCAGGGTCCTGTGCCTAGAGCATTGTGAGCCTTTGAGAGCAGGAGAGGGGCAGAGAGATGGATTCTGAGAGAGATGTTCTCACACAGAACCACCAGCTGAAGTGTGATCACCAGTGAGCCACTGGGTTGTGTGAGATAAAACTCTCCCTCCATCCCTTGCACACACAGTTTCTGGTGCATTGCCATTTTCTGATAAACCCCTGTATTGCTGCAATTCTGCCCTGGACTTCTGTTGCAGACATCTTTTATCAAAAATCCTTTCTTTAGGATTTTTCCTCCTGAGAAGCTGGGAGGCCTCAGGAACAAAATGTAAACAATGGTTATCTGCTGCTGTGGAATGCAACAGGTGCATCTGGGATTGGCCCATGTTGGATGTTTGTAATTAATGGCTAATCACTGGCTTGGACAGAGAGTCTGAGACAGCTGCCTTTGTTATCTTTCCTTCCTATTATTTTCTTAGCTAGCCTTCTGATGAAATCCTTTCTTCTATTCTTTTAGTATAGTTTTAATGTTATATATATATCACAAAACAATAAATCAAACCTTCTGAAACATGGAGTCAAATCCCCATCTCTTCCCTCAACCTGAGACCCCTGTGAACAGCGTCACAGGCTCCCCTCCCTCCCCATATGGTGTTCCACCCCATAAGGAAATCCACATTGCAGCCTTTCCCATCCGGAAGAGAAGCTGCATCCAGCAGCTGCCCCTGCTCCTGTGTGCCTGTCCCAGTGAGGGTGATGGGATCTCCCCTCTGCAGGGTGGCAGAGGAGCCCCAGGCTGCCCTGCAGGCTCTCACCTCGTCGGTGCAGAAGGAGCAGTCCTTGTCCACGCGGATGCACTCGGTGCAGCTCTTGGCCCGGGACAGCACACAGCGGTTGTCTGCCAGGAAAGATCAGGGCATCAGGGGTGGGGACAACAAAGGGAGCTGTGGGAGAAAGGCTGATCCCATGGAAAAATGGAGGTTTTGCCTGGTTTGGGGAAAGTGGCTGCAAAACAGCAGCGGGGTAGCATGGGAGGGTCCCCAAAATTGGGGAGATGGAAAACAGCAGGAAAAGCTCACAGCAGGTGCTCTCCACAGGAAGACTGGTGTTCCTGGGGGCAGGACAGGTACACAGAGTCCCCAAGGGAGGTGGCAGACAGGGCTAGCATGGCTCCACTCACTTTTGCTCCATTGGCAGACGCTGGTGGTGCAGAGCAGGGACAGGAGGAGCAGCCTGGCACACGCCCAGGGCAGCACATTCATCCTCTTCCTCCTGAAATAAAGGGATTGCTGCATTGCAGAGAGCCAAGGGGTGGAAATGGACCTGGATATGACCAGGGCAGCTCCCACAGAGCCCCTTCCCAGCCCTGCCAGGGTGGGACAGCCCTCACATCCCAGCTGGAAGCAACTGCTGAGCTCTGCAGGGCAGGGCACAAAAGCAAACCAAGGATGGCTTGTGCTCTGCTCAGGCAGAGCAAAAGGCTCAAAATCCCCAGCAATGCCACCCCTGTGCCTGGAGTTGGGGTGCACAGCTCGACATCAGGGGTTGGTGCAGCTGGAGCACACGAGGCTCCCAGACAGAGCCCAGCACCCTCCACACGTGTGAGCAAAGCCAAGACATTGCTTTTCCTGGCAGGTTAGGGAAACAAAACAAAACAAAAAAAAGGGAAACAAAGCGACTGTCCACATCTCTCCCCAAAAGCAACACTGACCCCTCCCTGCAGCTATTTCCTATCACACTAAGAGTTTCCAGGATGGTCAAACCAACAATAAAGAGAGGGTGAGGTCTTGGGAAATGCCAGGCTTGGAGCTTTGTAGTCGTTGAATGAATCTGTGGTTTTGAGAGCCTGGCAGATCCCCTTTGTCCTGCCCAGGGCATCAGGACCCCTTGATGGACACGAAGCTCAAATCCCAAACAGAGGGAACCATTCTCCCTGCACCACACGTGATAGAGAAAAGTCAGTGCCATCCAAAAGTCAGCATTTGGATGTGGTAAACAGAAGGCACAAAGCTGGAACTCAAATTCTGCAGCTGCTGTGCCAGAGGCTCGTCCTCACACCCAGCAGGGCAAGCAAGACCAATCAAGGAAAAAACAACAGTATAGAGATATCATTAAAGCATCTCATCCTGGTAGATGCAATTGCAAAATATGAAATGTGAATGAATTGTCTCATAGCTTCTTGCTGTGCCAGCCCTGACTCTAAAGTGAAAAGAATGTGAAAATCACTTAAAACAGGGAAAGGAAACAGGAAAAGTTGTTGCTGGCAGTAATGATGCCCAAGCTCCCCGAGGGACACCCAGCACACAGAGCAGTCACACGGAGACTCAGAGCAGTCACAGCCTCCCTGGGAAACCCCTACAGGGAAAACCCAGCCTGGTCTCAGCAGCACCAGATCACACCTGGCCTCTGCAGGCAGGGGAGCACATTGAATGCAGCAATTGCTGTGACAGGGCTCAACCAAACCAGCGCTGACAGCACAGGACCCTGCTCCTGGGGGCTGCACTTGGCTCCGTGTGAGAGCCACTGGCAGGACCCTGGTTCATCCAGGCAGCTGTGCCCAGAGGGATTCACCACAGCCATCAATGCCCAGTGGCTGAAAGAGACACACGGGAGCCTCAGGGCAGCATCTCTGCAGGGAAACCCCAGGAGCTTTGGGCTGGGAACCCCGGGAAGGTTTGCTGTTCCTCAGGACCTGTGGCCAAGGTGCTGTTCTGCCAATGAGCAGCTTTTCTCATGGGTAAAGGTACCACCAGCTGAGCAAGGGAACTGAGTGCTTCCCTCCGTGCCACACTGGCAGCCAGGCCATGTCCCCAATCAGGCCCTTGACAGGTTTGGGGGGTCCCTGTTCCCCCAGGACCCGTTGCAGGGCTGGCTCTGGGGCCAGCATTGCTCACCCAGGACGTGCCTGTGGCCTCCTTGAGGGAGAGTCCTCACACCAGCACTTGGTGGCAAATATTGTGTCCCTTGCTACCAACACAGGCAGATTTTGAAGCCAGGAAAATCCCTTTTCCCCTTGCTCTGCCCCAGCCCAGGACAGGGATATGGAGATGTGGGGAGGTGCCAGGTAAAGGTGGGATGAAAGGGCAGGGAAGGAATCCTCAGAGCCCGTGGAAGGAAAACACATTTGAAAAGTTGGAAACATCAGCTGAGCACCCAGCAAATCCCACCATGGCAGGGGCCACAAGGAAAGGACTGAGTATGGAACCAGACTCAGCTCACAAGCACCTAATGCCTCTTCCCTTAATCACCAGTTACGAAAAAGCCACCAAGGAGCGGATGGACACACCCTGGGCCCCGGGCTCATAAATTGCCATCACGTCTTTTCAAGTGCTGAGATAAAAGGCCATAAAATCCCGCTCAATATCAACGTTCTGCTGCCCTGTGAGCCACCAACCTTCAAGGATTTTGCTGGGCAGATGCCAGCCTGCTGGGTGCTGGTGGCACAGAGCATGGCCACTGAGGAATGCAGCTGCAATATTCCTGCAAAAATATGGGAGTGGCCACCCCTTCCTTTCAAAAGAGTCCTCTGGAAGGGAAAATGCCACTTCCACTTCAGGAAAGCTGCAGGATTTGGTTGGGTTTTCATGACAACAACGACAACAAAAAATAAATGCGTTCAGTTGTTCAAAAAGAAGGAGAAAGAGCAGCTCTTGGCTGCACATAAACTTCCTACCATTTCCCAGACTTGCTCCAGCATTTCCTCCTGGTCTCCTCTTGCTCCCCCAGCCTTTGCCCTGCCCCTCAGCACAGCCAACAATCCTGCTCCAGGAATATGCCAAGAACCCCTGAGTCTGGAGAAGGTGGGGCTAGGTACCTCACCCCCAAAAACCCAGGCAATGCTCCAAACAAACAGCCCAGGGGATCAGGGACACAGCTCCTGTTCTCTCCCCGGCACATGTGGTGGCACAGAACTGCTGGGACCACGCTCCAAAACTTGGAAATTATCAAGCCAGACTCCCCAAAACCACCAAAAACTCGACCCACAAATCAAATAATTGTTTGCCTCCCCCATCCATTCCTCCCCCTTCCCCACTGGTGCAGTGGGGCAGAGGACAGGGCTGGAATGGCAGATGGGGGAGCAAGGAGCAGGTTGTGATGAGCCACAGAGCAACAACAGGAGCCTGGTCCCCACGTGGGGGACACCCGGCAGGCTGGGACACGGGAGTGGGAAAGTGAGGGAGATGCCCAAGCAAGGAGCTCCCGAGCACAGCCTTTGCTCTCTTGGGTGGGAATTGCTCTTTTCATGGCTGTGCAGGGCATTGACCCTGCTCCGTGGCATCAAGGACCATCCACGTGTCCGTGTGTGCTGAGGATGGGCAGTGCAGCCACAGCCCCCGGGATCAGGGACACAGCTCCTGCTCTGTCCTCTGCACACGTGGTGGCACAGAGCTGCTGGAACCATGCTCCACAACTTGGAAATTATCAAGCCAGACTCCCCAAAACCACCAAAAACTCGACCCACAAATCAAATAATCTCTTGCACACAAAATCCTCCCGGTCCTGTTTTGTTTGCTTTCCCCATCCATTCCCCCTCCTTCCCCAGGTGTGCTTCTGCAGCTGGGACACTCCATGTGAGTGTCCCCATTTGTTGTTTTCAGCTCGCATTTGAGTCCCAGACCCCAGACATGGCCCCAGCACCCTCCAGCCAGGGACAAACGCAGCGGGACCCAGCCCGGGCACCCACATGGAGCTGCTGGGAGCTGTTTGTGCCAGCACCCCGTGCTGTGAGGGGCTGGTGGCTTGGTTCCATCTCCTGTGCTGCCCCCCGGGCTCGGGCAGGGGGAACCCCAAGGAGCAGAGGCAGGAACAGCAGGACCCTGCCTGGGGTCTGCCCAAATCCCAGCCCCTGAACCCCCCCGCTCCCTCCATGTGCTCTTCCTGCCACTTTCTCTGCTCCTTTGGCCCCGCACGACACTTTTCCCTCCTTCCGCTCCATGGGTGCTCCTCATCCCCCTTTGCCCCAGCTCACCCACGCCTGTCAGCCCCTCACACCAACTCTCCTGTCCCGTTCCCTGCTCCCTGTCCGTGCCAGAGCCACCGATTTGCAAACACCCCAACACCTGCAGTTCAGCAAAGCCCGCCCTGAACCCCCCACTCTCTCCTGGCCTTTTCCTCCGCGATCCCCCTTCCCTTGCTCCCCCCTTGCAGGGGCAGCCACCAGGTCTGGAAAACAGCCCCGGTGGGCTCCGGGGGTGGGAGGCTCCCACAGCCCGGCTGGCCTTGCACCCTTCCACCCGTGAGAGCTTTCCCTGGGGCCAGCTCCGAGGCACCTCAGCCTTTCCCCGGGAACCGAGGGACAGGGCAGCCCCTGGAACTCCATCAGCCTCCCCAAAGGGCTCTGCTGGCCGTCCCAGCCCGGACCCCCACCCGAACACAAACCCGGAGCCGAGCGGCCCCCGAGCCCTGCCCGGTCCCCGGCGCTGCCTTTCCAGCCAGCCCAGAGGCACCGGACGGGACAAACAGAGGGAACCGGCGGGCAGGGGCTGAGCCCCGCGCTCCGTGTCCTGCCCACCTGCCCGGGCATTGATTCACTGCCCGCTTCATCAAGGCAGCCAAGTTCGAGCGAGCTGGACGCTGCAGAGCGCAGATGAATTAATTCCACAAACCTCATTAGCGCCGGGTCTGACTCAGAGTCCAAATCTCTGCCGCAGCCCGAATAACAGCACCGCACACCGAGCCAAGAAACTCTTCCGAAGGCAGAGGGGGAACGCGCTGCTCCGCTGCTGCCGCTCTATTTCCAGCTTTGGGCTTTTCTTTCCTTTTTTTTTTTTTTTAATTTTTTTTTTTAATTCCCTTTCTCCCTCCTCTCTATTTTGTGTCCCCTTTCTCTTTCCGGTTAAACGTCAGGTCCCGGTGCGGCGGGGAGCGCAGCCCGCCCGCGATCCCTCATAACTCCCTGCGGCCCCTCAGCCAAAAATCCGCTTTGTTCTCGCTGCCGCCTCGCCCTCCCGAGGGGCTGCCAGGGTAAATGAGCTCGGATCCCAGGTGAGGAGAAGTTTTATCCCGGCCGGAGGGAGGAGGGGGTGCCCGTGACGCAGGGCTGGCATTCCCTGCACACCTGGCCGGGCGGGCACAGCCTCCGGACCCTCCCACAGGAACGGCGCTGGGAAAGGGCGGCGGGACGGGAGCCCCGAGGGGCTGCTCGGCTTCATCTGCTGCTCAGGGCAGAGTGAGGGAGCTCCCCGACCTCCCGAGGCGGGGGTTTCTCCTCCCGGTTTCCCCCTGGCACCACTGGGAGGTGTCACCCTCGGAGCTCAGGTAGCTCCTTGCTGGAATGTCAGGGAAATTCCTGCCCCGACAATCGGCAGATGCCGAGCCCGGCCTCGGTGCTTTGGGTGCAGGGAGGATGGATCAGCACCCTGCTCTATCCAGGGGTGGGCACAGCAGAGCACTCCTCACCTGCAGAGAATCTGCCTCAAGATTGTAGCACCACGCATGATTCCCATCCATACCTGCATCCCACCATGGTCCAGGGCTGCCACGAACAGCAATCCCACAGCTGAGTCCAGTCCTTCTGCTGAGCTGGATCCAAAATCCCTTCCCCAGTCCAAAGAACAGCAGGGGAAGGTTTAGAGTTCAGGTGAGGCTGTTTTCCTGTCCACACCACCCTTTTGCTTTAGAGCCTGGGGCTGGTCACAGCTCAGAACCACTCATGATCTCCACAGAACACAGCACACATGTTCTGGAGCAGATGCAATGGCACAGGCTGGATTTTGGCTCCCTGATAGATCCTCACAAGGAAAACTGCATCCCCCGAGCTTCAACACAAACAATAGCAACAGCCAGATGGAAAATGGCACATTTCCTGCCTGACTACGAGCAGGGCAGTTTTGCCCTCCTCACTCAATGTGGCATTACAGAGGCATTACAGAACTGATCAAAAGGTGAGGAGCAGGATTCCTTTCACTACAAGAAATTAGGAAGCTCAAGTTAATATATGCAAACTGCCTTAGCCCCAGGATAAAGGAGGATGTGTTTGTGCCACTAAAAACTACAGCAAATGGGAAACAGGCAGGGGTGCAGGGAAAGATGGCCTGGGCAGTTTAAATCTGGCATTTCTGAGTTTCCCAACACATAACTTGGCAACCCCAGTCCTTTGGGAGATGTGATTTCCTAGAGTTAAAATAAGGTTCTGGAAATGAAGGAGGTTTGCTGTTGTTTTTTTAAAAAACATATGAAGACAGTGACTGCAGCATGAGACAAAATAAAGGCAGAGCAGGAGCAGGCTGTGTGTGAGTGCTGATGCTTGAGCTGAAGAGCAGATGATTCCCCTGGAGGGGCTGAAGGCAGAGGGTCCTGCTCTGCCTCAGGAGCCACAGCTGCAGCAGATGTTGGACATTGCAGATGAATTAAACTGGGCTTCAGTTCCCAAGGTGGGAGGGGAGCTTGTGCTGGTGCTCACAGACCTGTGTGGTCACCAGCAGCTCCCACCAGCCCCACCCCACCTCCCACTGCTGCAATTTTCCTCTTTGAGGTAAGCAAAGTTGCCACTGCATTGAAAAAGCCAATTTAGGCTGCAAGAAGCATTGTAGTAAAAATCCCAGTTAATTCAGTGATGGATCCCTAACAGGAATCCTGAAGGCAACCAGAAAAGCTCATGAGAACCCAGCTTGCATCACAATGCTCGGTGTCCTGACTTTCTGGGGGTCCTCCTTTCTCCACCTGAGATGGAGAATGTTTATTGTCTTAAAAAAAAAAAAGAAAAAAAGGTTGTTTAATTGTTTAATGAGTTGTCTTTCAGGTAACTTCTCCAAATTACTTCCACCAGGGAAGAACACTGGTTGAACTCAAGTTCTTGCCTTGGTTCCATACATTGCTGTCCCTGCCTGCTGGATCATGCTTTTGTCACACAAATTTGCTGTTTTTAAGAACAGGGGACAGGGATTTCAGAGGCAGGGTGAGCAGATTTCAGTGCAGATGGCTCCACCACAGCTCACAGCCACATCTGTGGGGAATCTCACATTCATAAATCAGTGAATTTCTGTGGTGGCAACGTGGCCTAGAAATTTTTGCCCTAGGAGGAAAAACATGTAGTTTTATAGCTCACATGAAATTATTGCTCTCTCTGCTGACTGCCAGTCCGAGTGCCAATTCCTGATAATTACAAGTGATTTCAGGGTTAATTATTTTCTTTTTCTTTTTCTTTTTTTTTTTTTCTTTTTTTTTTTCTTTTTTTTTTTTAATGCCATGCCAGCTTGCAACAGAGCCTTTCTTCTTTCTGTCCTGCCACCACAGCATGCCTGGAGACAGCTTTGGGGCTTTCTCTAGGTCTTTATTGTGCAGTTACAGCCAAAATCCTGCTGGCTGGAGCACATTCATCTCCTTTTTAAATTCTGTAACAACACACATTACTAAAAGAAAAATAAACACTTAATCCCATCACTGCACTGTACACTGTAGTGACAATATCCTGCTATGTGGCTCAAATAAAAGGAATGTGTAATAATGTATTATTAATGTACATTAATGTGCACATAATTTATTGCACTAAATGATGCTTAATATAATTCCCTGTTCAATTCAAAGTGCCAGATGAAATCCTGCCATATTTTCTCCCTCAGCCTTTTCCCCAAGGCAGCATTAACTACACGTGCCCTCTGTTTTCCTGTAGATGTTCCTTGTCATGAACATGCTCCTAGAGGAAAATCTCTCTGATGAACATCCTTGATTAACATTTCCCTCTGGGACAGACTGGCAGCAAGAGGGAAGTGGGGCACAGAAACAACACCAGAGGAAAACATCAGTGAAGGATCAGCCTGGGACACTCCTGTCACCCATCTGGGGACAGCAGGGCCTTCCAGGATCCACCAGCGCCTCACCCAGCTGCCAGGGGCTGAGCACACACCCATGTCTTTATGCAAAACCACAAAACCTTTCCCTGTGCAACCCCAGAGCTCTGCTGTTTACCAGCAGCACAGAGCAAATAAACACAGAGCAAATATTGGAAGTCATTGGTGTCCGTGGATCTCGCTCGGAACAAAAGGAAGGAAGTGGGATATAAACAGTCAGAGAACAGCAGTGCAGGGAAGGCTCAGAGGTGGAAATCTGCCCTGGAATCTGGTGGAAATGCAGGAATGTGCTGAGGCAAACGCTCCCCCCACAGGGAAGAGGAGACTTTGTGGAACTTTGTTGCCCTTTCAGGGGGTCTTGAGCCTCCACAGCAATTTATTTACCTGAACATTTAACATTAGAGAATCTTGGGGAGCCCTGCTGGGGAGATCTGTGTTTCTCACTCCCTCTCTGGAGATATTCCAGAGCTGTCTGGACACAACCCTGTGCCAGCTGCTCCAGGAAAAGCTGCCTGAGCAGGGAGCTTGGGCCACTTCCAGCCTCACCCACCCTGTGATTCCCTGCAGGTACCAGCTCTGGGCTTTCCCTGCTCACGCCATTGCCCAGGAATGAGCAGCCCATACCCTTTGATGACTCTCTGGGCACGTTACAAAGCCCACCTGCTTGAGGGCCTTCGTAGGAGCTGATTTCTCCCCTGCCATGCAGAAGAGCTGGAAAGGAGCTTGTGCAGGTGTTGGCTGCAGCCATCACCTCCCTCACTGCTGGAGCTGTCATCGCAAAGCCTTGGCAAGGAGGGCTCTTTCTTTCATTTTTTGTTCATCTCAGTGCACAACTCCCCTAAAGCAGACAGTGCAGCACCAATCCAAGTCAAACATAGCTTCAGGTGCTGCCATTGCACGGTTTGAGGTGGGGCTGGCAAGGGCTGCCCTCCCCACCTGCTCCCTCAGCCCAGCAGCACCCAGGGAGACAGAAAATAAAAGCGAGTCCTGAACACACAAAATCCCTTCCCACACCAGCATCAAAGCAGGGCAGGTCTCTAAAGCACAACAAGCAAATGGGAGAGAAAATCAACACCTCAGGGCATGGAGGTGGAAGAAAAGACTTCAGAAGGGAGAGGGAGAGCAGAACCAACTCTGCCAAGGATGAGTTCATTACTGCAGCTCTCCTGCCTCTGCTGGGGCAGACACACAGACCTGAACGTGGAGTTTCAGCTGAGACAAAGCTCCTCGAGCTTTGAGACACCCCTGCTTAGGAAGGAGATAGGCAGAGAGAAGCCCTGTGGTGTTCAAGGAGCAGAGACTAATTTTTGGACTAAGGAATGATGAAAAACTCTGGTTTTATTCTCCTGGGTATGGTTAGCATCCCTTTGGAAGGAGAGGTCAGAACGAGCATCTGCAGCTCTCAGAGCCACCAGTGCAGCCTGAGCAGTCACTGCTGCAGCAGCATAAGGAATTTATCTCAGTGTCAGCTCTGGGTTTGCCTCAGGGCACAGCTGCAGTGCTCCAGGGCTGTCTGGGCTGTGACACACTCTGCAGGGCTCACACAGCTCCAAAGCAAACCAGCCCAAGCTCCTGTCTGGGGTTTCAGGCCAGGAAGGATCCTCCTCCCTCAGGACATCTCCCCTGTGTGCCTGAGGTTCCCTGCAGCTCCTCTGGGGCACTGACTGACCACAGCCCAGGGCAAGCCATCAACCTGTCCAGTGCCATTTTCAGAGCTGGGAAAAAGGCATTTCCCTCAGAACTGCAGTTTCCAACCTGAGGATCCACCTATTTATTACCTCTGAGTTATTGGCTGCAAGTTTGTTATAGGGGGTTGGCATCCTCATTTCAGCTTTTTTGGGGGAAGAAACCCAAACCTAAATGAAGCCTGTTTCAAGCTGCTTTCTCCACTGCAGACAGCAAACACTGGCTCCTGGGAGCTCAGAGGGAACTGCCAGGGAACTGCCCAGTCCTGCAGGTCTCTTGTAGCAGAAGCTGTTACTGCAGGAGTCTGGAAGCTGCTGCTCCAGGGTCCTGGATGCACAGATGCCTTTTTTTTTTAAGCTTAAATGACCACCAGGACAGTGTTTAACATGTTGTAAAATTATCTGTCTACAAGCAGGATATCAACCTATTATTTCTACCTTAAGTCTCCATAAATGCAAAG